TACTACCAGTTTCACAATTTTAGATCGCACTCAAGTTTAATAATGAAATTCTGCTTCTCGTTTCGGAACCCCAGGCTTAAAAAACACACGGAGAATAATCGCCATGCATTAACGGAAACGGTGCTATTAAATTTCACACATTTCGAAGCAAAGTGGTTGCGACGCGCGCTGTTGCATTTCGAATTTCCGTCGTGGAAACCTTTCGGTTCATCCATTTAACTCTCCGCGCTGGAGACAGGAATAATTTGAAGGAGTTTTGCACGGTTTCCAAATCGGTTGACCGGTTTCGCTGGCATCCCAACGTAAATTAGACAAGACAGGGCGAAACCAGGGACTTAAGTTGGACACGACGGCGCATTATGAATCTGACGTGAACAGTTTCTAGTTTGGGGTGGGGGTTCGTATATTTCGGTGCAGCAACCGAACGATCCTGGACGAAGCTTCTGCACCCATTACAGCGACCAAACGCGATTTCCGTCGTGCTCGTTTCCCCGTAAAATAAACAGGATTTCCTTGGCGAACGAAATCTAATAAGTCGTCGCATCGGCCTGCTCGGATTAAAATTTAATTATCCGACGGTGATATCGCTGCGACTGACACGCTGCCACGACGCCCTGCGAATAGACATTTAAACAGAGACAAAGATGATAATTAAATCCGGAAACATCTTACTGAAATTTTTGTAGAAACTAGTCAATTTTTATTTTGTTATATTTCATTTCAATATTGCTTGAGGTTGTTTAATAAAAAGTACAATTAATGTGCCGAACTCGAAGAGTATGCGCGTTATTCTGTTAACTCGGTATATATTTAATAGAAATATGCAATGTATAAAAATGCAAAGTTATTCGTTATTGCAAGCGAAAAATCGTCCTTACTACGTTCAACGATCTACCAGTGTAAACGCGATGAACAAAAGCACTCGATCGAAGAAGATGCCAGGAAAAGAAATAAACGAACGACGTGCTTGAAACATCGAAATTCAAACACTTTGAGAAACCTGCGTTCCATCGCTTCGAAAGTTCTCCGTAACGGTTTAAACTACCTAAAAGTTCAATTAAACGATTAAACACAGAGTTTCCAAAAGTTGTACGCTTTCGAATAAATGCACGCGAATGAAACAGTTATCGTACAATGATCCCGTCTGGTTTTCAATTACTTTTCGGGAGGGGGGAGGTGGTGGTGTGCATTAACTTTTTAACTGTTGCTCTCGAGTATGCCAGAGAGCAAACACAATTTTATTGTAGTATCCGCGCCTCCCATACCCAACAATAAGGAGTCGCATAAGAACGCGAAAAGTAGGGTACGGGATTGGTCGCGTATGTAAAGCGGTCGACTGTGGATCCGAGGATCGCGGGGTTCGAATCCCCGTGCCTTTATTTTTCGTTTAGACTCCTACATTATTTAGATCAGTGGTTTTTAACTCTTTTGCCAAGCTCAGCTATAAAAAGAAAGAAATGCCTCTGTATTCGAAACTTTTAGATAAAGAATCAGAGTGCAATTCTGCTTCACGTAAACCAACAGAATTTGATTTCACGCTAGTTCCATCGCACTAATTGATCGGAAAAGCTATCTGGCTCAACTTCTAAGCAAAATTATGAAAAGATAAACGACGAACTTAGTTTGGCACACAAGTTTTCTCCGCCACTAATTAATTCAGCGGTGAAAAACTCGAGAATGCGATCGATTTAAGGTCCTAGCTCTCGAAGAACGCTGGAAATTAATTCGAGAACATAAAGTAGACACCAAAGAAAGTAAGAATCGAATTTTCGACCGTTAGAGGAGTTTGGCGCATTTATCACCCTTGCAGCACACGTTGCACTTAGAGAAGAAGAGCGACGTAGGAAAGGATCGGCAGTAAACGCAAATTAGATCTTGAAAACGTCTGTTGCGCGTTGATCGGATCGACATCGGGGCACAAAGACGACGTAAATTGAATTCCAGAATCGAACTCCTGCCAGTTTCGACCTAATTTCCACGGTGCTGTCTCGTTCGAGTAACGAAACTGGGAACATTTTTTGCGACCAGTCGTGCAAGCGTGCCAATGTCGAAATTCTCACCTAATACAATTTACCTACATTCTATTTGGTTCGAGAAGATATTTAAATAGGACTCAAAGTAATCACCAAATACAAAATAGTAATACACATTATACATCGTAACTGAATCATTAAGGGAAGCAAAATCTATTCTGATCTATCCAAATAGAGAACTCGAATCACAGCTGTCCTAAGACGATACAAGATTTAGGGAATCTTTCGACGAACACGAAAGCCATTCTAACTCGGTGCAAAGATAATTTCACGGTGTTTCACAAAAACGAGTGTCTGCAGGTGAGAAGCCGCGCGTAGATTAGGGTTGATTGCACGCGCGACTCAAACTAAAAACGCGACAAGTACTTTTGTCGCGGTGGGCGCACACACCAAAGCATCTAATAATACGGTGCTCAGTGAAATTGCGACCCAGTTAGGCTTTGACCCACTTGCTTGCACCGTAATCATCGTCGAGTGCTCTGCTCGGATTGATATTAGAGGTAAACACGCCACTGGGAGACTAGCTGCATCTAGAGGTCTCGTTTGCATGAGACATCGACTTGCTTGGTTTGCCTCGCACGCTTCAAAGGTGCACCGCACAGCGTTCCAGAGACATTTTGATGCGATTATTTCGTATCGTTAAATCCCAAGCGATACCTGCGTCGCGATTAATTTACCATTTTTGTCCCACTCGAGGACTTGCGTCAGCATCGAACAATACCGCTTTGATAAACAGTGATAAATGCCCTATGTATCGTCGAGTAACATTTATTACGTTTCTTTGTTTCAAAGACATCGATGGGAACAATGAATGTTACAATCAACAGTACTAAATTACAGACGATACAAACATCAGTTCGCGTGGTTGCCGTGCTCCGAAAAATTCGGAGTACCCAGACCTGGTCTCGATAACAAGGTTGATTTGCCATTACGTTCGCGTTAACGGGTAACAACAACGGAATTTGTCCACGGAATGTCATTTTATAAACAATACTTCGACGAAAGTATTGCGTAAGGTGTAACGCGACACGTTCCGCGAATGATATTATGAAATCCCTCGCTTCGCGGTACATTTTTCTCGCCTGCTTGCGCCATTAATGTAAAATGGGTCATGAATATGCTTCCACGAGTTTGAGAGGATACCACGGCGAGAAACTTCGTTTCTACTTTAGTGAAACTTCGCATCGACGATACATCATAGTCTATCGTTCTTAATGGGAGCATTCGAGACCGCTAATATTCACTTTTCTTCGTTACATCGGGGTTCGCGGAAGGGTAGCAAACCGAACATTATGAATTTATCAAACGTCGTTAGTGATGAAAATGTACCAGTCTGTTCAGTTTCTGCCCGTGCCTCGCGTATCGATGATCGACGGTACTGATTTTCAAGCACTATGCGAGGTACTAACGTGTATCGAACGTATTGCTTGTACAACCGACTGGGGCTATATTTAATGAAAACCACGAGCAGGTCTTTGTACGCGAGGTGCTCGACAAGGCAGCAGCACGTACGACGGAGGAATAAGGTTCCGTCGCGTATCGTGTCTCGTGCATGCATACGTGCGACTGCTGCGCTACACGCAAACGATGCATCTCGCATTTATAAATAGAGTTAAACCCCGAAGAAGAGCTTCGGTACTGGTGGAACGACCACCGAGGTTGCCCTGAGGTCTCACACCAGGTCGGGGATAAATTAAATATACGATCGCCTCTATATCGCCGCTACCTCGTCGTTGATTCTTTACCTCGATCGACTTGGACACGAAACGGACGTAAAAAACAAACAGAAGAATGATTTTGCACCGTCCCTTTGCTTCGATTCTTCGGCTCGAGGTACTGACAGCTGCGAATATGAAACCCCGCTAACCAAACATGAAACCGGTGAAGCGCGCGAATTGGACTTACAACCGTTGGTACGGACTGAGAACTGTCGCGCTTCTTATTTTTCACATTCTAGCCTTCCAACGAATTAGGAACATCTTTTCAAAGTACCGTTATTGATGCAACATGGCAGAGCAAATAATTGATTTATTTTAAAAAAATGTTCATATCCCGTAACTGTACCGTCATTCGTCGCTATCTCAGTGTCCAACGAAAACAGATCTATCAAAAACTCTCTACTATGTGTAACAACGATACGACTCAGAGATGTTTTATCGATTAATTATTGCGTGCGCTCTACTCCGATCGCTACTATAGATCGGATCGCAGCCGTGAAAATGATGCCGATCGGAGGCAAGGCGCGCGATAGATCTACACGAGAAGAAAACGGCCTTGTCTATTGACAAGAGATATCAAATTTCAAATTGTACCCACAAGTAGTCGAATGTTTTCGGAGCATCTGTTGCGCACGTGAGTTACGACCGTAAGGCGCCGTTCACACCGCGACAGTTTACGTTTTCGCGAATTACGTCCTTCCAAGGGCTTAAATTGATGTAACGAACGTCTTCGAATGATACTCGTGTGTACCTGTGTAACCCAAGTCCTTCGATTCGTTACACCGTCGACGATACAGGCGACTAACGACCGCTTTGTTATTGTTTACATGGGAAACGATACCGCGATACCGGGGCAAAGTTGTACTTAGCATCGTGCCAAAGTCTTTCTGCGGTATCTCTGTCCTCACGTAACGAGACTCGCATCGAATCAAACACGATGAAAAATGAAAGCTACGAGAGTTTAGTTTGATTTAAAGCAACGTCAGGCGTAAATTGTTCCGGGACCCCAATGTGCTCCGATTTGAGCGTGAAAGTCCCGCGTTCGTATTCGAATCTCGAACATCCACGAGCTTATTATCTTAGAAAAAATGTCCTCGGTGTTAATAGCGTACAATAAAAATAAACACTTGGCCTAGAGTAACAAGAAATATCGCGGGAACGTGAAAGCACGGTTTGGCGAAGCCTGGCAGGCCTCTTCTATTCGCTCCGATTGTAACATCAACGAAGGTGTAACAATAGAATGACTCACCTTTTCGAGGCACTCTTGACCAATGGCTTTGGGATCAACCTGCACCTCGAGGATGACTGAGTTCGCTTGGCTAACGAGACACCACATCTTGCGGCTAGTTGTATCCAAAAGAGGTTCGGTAAACACACACCCTTCGGATCGCAAACGACCTTGGTAATTCGCCTACGAGGACGCGAGAAAACCGAATAAAAGAAAAAGCCACCGAACTTTCCGTCACGCGGTATCTACGACAATATTTTCCGCTCCGGACTCGCAGCTGGTCGGCGACCGGTGTTACCCGGTACGTTCTTAATCATAACAGATTTAAAACCCGTACCCGTGCACAGCTGTCACTGCGTTCTCACACACGACCTCGTTCTTCGGCAACGTGCTCGCGCTCCTGCTATCCGAACGCGTCTCGTCGGCTGCCATTTCTCGGTGCGGAATGGCACACGTACTGACCGCTCCGCGCTGCCAGGATTAGTTCGCGAAATCGAATCACCTTTCGGTCTCTATTAAGTGGCGCTAGTGTTGTGTGAACGCACAAACACACACTCACCCACGCGCAACCTAACCAACTGCTGTCAGAGAATACGATCCGTCCGCCCAGGAAAGGTTAGGTTTACACAGCTGATTCCCCCCACCATGTTTAGAATATTTTCTTTCCATTTGGAGTCCTGACCAGCGATGCCGGATTCCCCACAGTTCGCGCGCATGCGCGATGAATCTGGCGCCAGCAAAGTGCTCTCATCGAGTAGAAACAGGTATCGCACGAACCCTCGTTTATTTGTTTCAGGAAAGTGGTCGACTTAAATATTATTTCTTCCATTATTTTTCGTGTATGGTGAAATATTAAAGCTTACGATGAAATTAAAATTAAAAGTGAAGATTAAAGAGAACGTAACATACAAAAGTTTATTACTCCAACTTGAGAACGGTATAAAATACAGTACCTTTGACTATGCACGGCGCTGTTTTTGGTCGCGCAAGCGTCAAAAGTGAATGACCAATGGCTACAAACGTAAACGAGAACGACCAATGAAATTCGAGTTAAAAGCTTAATCGAAACTGCGTTTGCGTTCAAGAAAGGCAACCAATTTGAACGTACAAATCTACAAACCGACGACGAGATTTTAAAATTCGCAACAATTGTGCAGAATATTCCGAGCTTAATAAATAATACAAGAGTATGCTATCTCGTTTATTATGCTTGTGTTCTGTAGCGTTAAAATTGAAGCATTAATATTGGAACGTTCATTGAAACACTTCGCGCAGTTTTCATTACCGCGGATATCATAAACACGAAATGTTTTACGTAATAATGATAAGATTACGCAACTATGCAAACTGTATTTATCTCAACGTCTTCGGGTTTGCATTCTGAGTACTAATTGCACTAAAATATCTCAACTGTAGAGGTATCGATTAAAATATATATAGATTTTCACTGTTTTTATTTTCGAACATTAATCCTGTACAGATTAACCAGCTCACAGAGACAGGGTATACACATGAGAAATAACTATTATTTCGTACAACTTAACAAAGCTTAAAACTTTCAAACAAAAACAAGTGGTGCATTTGTACATCGTCGCGAGAACCACATTCGACTGGGAGCTTGTCTGCGTGATTCTCGAAAGGTTGTACGGGATTTTGTAATCACATCTTATGTCCTCGATGTAGCAGAACTATGGAATGACATCTAGCAACATAGATTTAACGATGTACCATATTTTTTCCACCACCTTAAATTTTAATATATAAGCGTCATCCTAATATATCTAGGCCTTGATATATCATTATGACAGCAACATGTTTAATACATTTACACTACTATCGTGATGCAACTACAACAATCCTTAAACTTTCCAATACTGCGGTAAAAGCTCAGCATAGTTACGATTACATTTATTGTCGTGTAGCAACTGCGGGAAAAATTCTAGTAATTCGAGTACCACCATCTAAGATCGAAAGGTATAGGTTTCCTCTGATAAAAGTACAACATAACAGTTATAGATACGTTTTAAGATATGGTAAAGGAAAGTACTTAATGTACATTTATAGCATATGATGCAATATTTATAGTTGACGTATTTCTTGAGATTTACATTTCGATGCGGTAATTCTTGTGCAACTCAGGTTTAATATTGTACACCAAGTCCAAGATTTTAAGCATAACCTATGTAACATAAATCATAAATATGATATACATTGTACACAGGAGACATTTTTCATTTTGTATGTAGATACATTGAGTGAACTTACGGTCTCTTTGTGCACTGACACGGCCTGATTCATTTCTTGAATTTTTACTTTTGTGTCAGCCTCTATACGTGCAGCAACATCCTCCTTTGAGCCCATGTGCTAAACAAAAGAAAAATATTACATGTAACATCATAATCTCTTCTGTTTCAAATATTCAAAATAATATACTTATTTAAAAACCATTTACCTTGGCTTCAAATTCACGAAATTGTCTTTCTCGTTCTTGTCTGTATTTTTCAATTTCATCTTGAGCTTCTTCTTTGGCCTGCTTCAATCTACGTGCCTTACCTAAGAATAAGGTTAGTTTAGAGCTGCACTTCACTTCAACAAATTGTTATAATATAAAATATACTCGATTACTCCAATGAGTTATATTGTGGTTACTTTCATTTTATCACAGAAAATGGTTCAACAGTATACATGTCACGCTCGTGTTTTCACGACTTCATTTGGAACGATTAACTAAACACTATAGACATGGTAGTATATCGAGCGTAAAGCGTACTTTTAATACAAATAAAGGAAAATATTACTTTTCATTGCATTTGAAAGGTTACACCCATTTAAACTCAGGGTCACAGAACAGTTCACCACAACGTGTTGTGCACAGCATTTATTCGTATTAAAATATTAATTATAATGATTGGATGGAAACTCACGTTTTCTGGCTTCGGAAACTTTCTCCGCAGCTCTTTTCTCGGCTGTCAGAAGTTGCTGAATACCTTGCGTCTGGCTGGCCATCTTTGCAACGAAGGAAGAGAACTGTATTCTGAAGAGAATCACAAATCGATCATATGACTTTGGAGTTTCCGTTGTTTGCCCCGCCTTAAACGATGGCGCTCTACCTTGTGGTCTCACGTGGCTACTGCCTCGTACAATTATGAACGCGGCAACCAAAGTCCGAGGAGGGCTAATAAAACACGTCTGTACGAAAAAGTATATCGCTGATTAATCTCGAAAATAGGTCTACTGTTTCCCTTATTTCGTCTTAATACTATTAAATTTTTATTACATATATATCTTTTCTTTTTCATCTATGACATTTCAAATAGTTACACGCGCCATCACCATTTCAATTTTTGAAGTTAGATTTAGGAACAAGAGAAATCTTTTCCACAAACATATTTTCTCATTATGAAACACTTGTTTGTATAAGAGCTTGACATTGGTAACCAAATCACTGTATATCAGGTTTTTCTCTAAACGTGTCTGCAATTACCAACTAAGGTGAATAAGATCAGAAAAATATTGATTTCTCTCGAGGACTTCGTGAATAATAGAAACCGTTGGAAAGTTATATTAAATACGTTTAATATACATGTAAATAATTGTGGATTATTTAATTTACAGAAGAGGAGTATAAAGAAATTTATACATTAAAGTATACGATTTCCTTGTATGTTTTGTCTGTTGTTCAATAGAATTTTTTCTTGGCGTTTCTTTTCTTCCTTAAATGCTCCGGTATTTGCTTTTCGTTCCATTCTCCTTTCCTAGAATTGACAATTAAAAGTTTAGTTAATAATTTATGTAATAAATATTCAAAACAAATCTTACTTTTCTGTATTCCTTCAGTGATTTTTTTCTATCCTTCCTTTCTTCAGGCGTTTCTCCTTTTGGTCTGACACTTAATGTGCTTAAAGTCGATTTCATTGTTTCCGCGATAGATCGCGGTCCAATTGGTTTACAACTTTGATTTTGTTGATTAAACTGAGCTAAACTTTTAGTAGTCAATTTTCCAGAGGCTCCATCTAAAACGTTTTTTGGAATTCCAGTTCTTGGATTGACTTTGATTTTTTCTGGATGCTGTAAAGAAATTCATAGATCGAAAAAACGTTCTAAACAACATGAGTAAAATATTATTATTAAATAACGTGCCTTAGGTTCCGAAATTAATTTCGGATGATTATATATGTTGCTGTATGTACTAATAATGCTTTCACAATCCCATTGATCCTTCTGTCTTGCATCAACAACAAGTTGTTCTAAACCATTTTCATCATCAGAGCTGGAGTATTCTTTTTCTAAAATCTTCATCCTCTCTTGCATAAGTTGTGCAACATTCTCAGCCTGTAAAAAGATATGAGTCATTGTTTCTTTCTTCGATCGTATCTCTAGTACCTACATCTCCGTTTTCTTGTTTTTCAAATTCTGCTGCACACTGAAGGACTAAATCTGAATCTGGTTCTATGTAACCTTCAATTTCATCACATTCTAATGAACCAATTTCATTGTCATCATATGCTGCATACATCTACCAACATAACAATGTATAATGTGACATGTTTATTAGATTAATGTATGACTCACAGTAAAAAATATTAACCCTCTCAAATTTATCATCAAGAAGAGCCAATTGTTCATTTCTTCTTATGACACTACTACTGATCGAATACTCTGTAAAACGGGATTTTGTTTCTTCATCTCTAAAAGTGTACTGAGGTCCATTTAAACTGTGTACTTCATCTTGTTCTTCATCAGATAATTTCATATGTCCTTCAGATGAAACATCTGACTCTTCATCTAAATCATATAAAATAATATAACATAATTGTTACATATAAATAATATATTCTTACATACCATACTCATTATCTGTTGACTCATTATCACCATTTTCAGCTAATTCTATAAAATTATCTTCTAATTCATTCTCTGGATCATCAAAATCAAAATCATCATCCAATGCTGCTACCACATCTGGATCCAAGTCTAATCTCAATCCAGATGTAGGAGCTGCTTTGTTAAGAAGTCCAACTTTTTCTTCTACATTTGAAGCAAACACAGAAGATGGTAAATTAATTTTTGGAGTATCTTTCTTGTCACTTGTTTTTGAAACATTTGGAGCATCTACACGTTCCCATTCAGTTGTCAAAGAATTAACATCCTTCAGATGTTGCAGATAGTTATAGTCATCATCAAAATATATGCCGTATTTTTGTTGCTCTTCTTTGCGCTTAGAAATATCTACATTTTTCTTATCTAACTTAGGAGCTTGTGCATCCCCAACTGGTACAAGTACGCGTTGTGGTGCTGTTTCATCAGCAATTAATGGATCCTTTTGTGAACGATGAACTAAATGAAATGTTACTGAATTTTTCTTCTCAATAAACTTCTTTGATTTTCCCTTCGGCTGAAAATTGTACAACGTTGTATATAACATAATCTACCAAACATAACCTATCTTAACTAAAGAGGTTAAGTATTAGAAATTGCTTAGAACTTACCATTTTTAGGATGCTTCTTGTTAATCATACAGAAAGTAAAAGCAAATTGATGCAAAAATAGCTGACTTCAATTTTTTCATAAATTAGACTTTACATTTATCAGTATTATGAAAGATACCTCATGCAAAACATAAAACAGTGTGGTACACCAGTGGTTCTCAACTCGTTTAAAGAACTCGTTTAAAGAACAAACTTTGGATATAATAATTAAAATTATACAGAATCGTTGTTAAAGTTAACTGTTATATATTTTTTATATAGTATATTAAAATTTCGACGAACATTTTTTACTAATAATACACGAAACAAGGGTAAGCATTGTAAAGAGAGGGTGGTTTCACCTTTGTTGTTACGTTTGTCCTTCTCTTCCTTTCAGGCAGTCAATGTTAACAGGGTTGACTATTGATGTTCGATAAACACGCAACAATTCTTGAAGGAAGCATAGAACATGGGACTATTTGACCGATTAGCGAATCTTTTAGGTCTTAGGAAAAAAGAAGTAAACGTTTTAGTAGTGGGCCTTAATAACAGTGGTAAGTCGACGGTCATAAATAATTTCAAACGCGAGGATGACCGTTGCATAGACATAGTGCCCACCGTCGGGTATAATGTTGAAAAATTTGCATGTAAGTTAAATACTGACGAGTGAACGACGTTGTTTAATGCTCAATTGACGTGCTTACAACAATATTGTTACTTGCACTTGCATTATTGTACTAATTGGTTCAAGCACCCCTTCTTTATTGTACAATGAAATGAAACAGGCAGTCCATATTAAAAATAAATTTATTTTTACAAAAAAGACAAAAGTACAAAATAAAAGGTACATTATATTTTATTGCAAATTTCACAAAATACTTCACATATTCTTTAGGTTTTTTTATTTCTTACTAGTTATATTTAACTTAACTTTTTTTTTATTTTGTTGGTTTCACGTTTGTTTTTATTTTGCTTTGTAACACTTTTGCAGAAGAAATACTTAAAGGTCTGTGTACACTTATAGGTTCACTCTCTCTAGCAGAATCAATGTTAGTGTTAGCATTTTTTAAACCATTTTCATTGACTGTAATATCACTAATATTATCAATGCTGGTTGATTGAATGAAGTTGTGATTCTTATGCATTGGAGTACTAGTCAACAATTTATTTAAATTTCTATTTGTTGTTTTCTTTTGAGGAGTCATTTTTGTAGAAGATGTTAGACAACTTATATGTCCATCTGATTCACTGTATAATCGAAATTTTAACTTTGTCTGTTTTAATTTTTTTAGTTGTGTACCCACAGATGATGGAGATTTCATCATTCTGGAATTTTCTTTCTCCAATTGAGCAGAGACAGACTCCTTATTACATTCAAATGCTTCTGAAACACTTTTCACTTTTATCTGCGTTTTTGTTCTTTTTCGTCTTTTCTTCTGCTGTCTTGTTAAACGTAGCGGAGACATCCTTGATTCCTTCAAATATTCTTCTATAAATCCCTCTTCATCTGAGTTGCTCAAATTCTAAAAACAAAAGTAACATTTTAGGGATGTTTGTTTTAAACAAATTAAGATTTTTAACATACATTAACTTCTACTGGACTATCTTCATCATCTTCTTTTGCCCATATAAATTGACCTGTGTTTAATATGTTCTTAAATGCTGTACATAAATCAAATGTTTTAAAACACTTTAATGAATCCTTTAGATGCTTTTTCGTGCTCTTGTCCAATTCCTCTTCTGTTTGTGAATCTACTTCAACTTTATGTGGTCTGACTTCATTAGTATCATATATAAGATATATAACTATATTTATATATGAATCATCTTCTATTTTCCTTACACTTTTTAATTCTAAAGTGATATAAGTATATGCTAAATTTGTTTGTAAAGTACAGTCTTTCAAATGAGACACTCTATCCTAAAAAGTTTAAGTATATTTAATACTGTTCCATTATTTAAAATAAAATAAAAATTAATAAGAAATATATACCATTAGTTCATGATATTGCTCTTGTCGAAGAAAATGACAATCTATATAATGCTTGCAAGTTCTTACAAAGCTAGGTATGTATTTTAACTCTTGAATAGGAAATATAGATATTAAAACATTTAAATCAATTGACTTGGGCATTATCCATTTTCCTAAATGCCCTAAATTATCCTTATTTAAAATTTGTACTGCAAAAGTACCCTTCTTTTCATATTTATGTGATGATGAAAAATTAAAAATGAATTCTTCTTTTGAAGACTTGACACAGTAAATACCAGCATATCTATACAATTGAAATTGTAATTCTATATCAACATCTAGAATTTCAGGGGTATCTGAATCTGTATTTGTATTGGCAGAAATGTCAGAAGCATTTTGATCGTATGTGATTTTAGTATTTTTATATTTATGTATGTTTAAATTACACTTAATTTGTTTAACTATGGATTTCAACTGATTTATTTGTTTTCTCAATTTGATCTTTTTCTCCTCTAAAAGGTCTGAAATTAAATGATATTTGTTGTTTCTCTTAGAATTATAGGGTTAGATTTTTAAGTGCAACTTTATGGTTACCTATACTATTGTTTATACTGTCTGAATCTTGCCCAATGTCATCAGCATTTTCCATGATTTCGTCTATCTCCATGTTTAAACTTAAAGACTATTCCTTGAAAGCAGTTTAATACTATTTTTAAACACTATCGCGCCAAGACAGCTACCATTCGTGTTCAGTGATTCTCATTCATGTTTCTAGAGACGTATAACGAAGAACCAATGGCACGTCGTTTCACTCTATAGTTTATACTTATCACTTTTAATAATCTATGTGTAATTTCATACACCACAATCTTTTCAATATACACATTTTTTTCAGTTAAAAATGTCAATTTTACGGCATTCGATATGTCAGGTCATGACCGCCATAGATCTTTATGGGAACATTACTATAAGGATTGCCATGGTATTATATTCATAATCGATAGCAGCGATAAGCTACGATTGGTTGTTGTTAAAGAGGAATTAGATATGCTTCTTCAACATCCGGACGTGGCAGGTACAATATCAGTCGCACCCTATACCTTCATGTCCTTTTTCATTATCAGGTATAAACAGTTTTTCAAGTGTGAAATGGTTTCTGTTAAACTTTGCAGGTCGCAAAATACCGATACTATTTCTAGCAAATAAAATGGATTTGCCAGATTCTTTGACTACTGTTAAACTTGTTGCTGGCCTTGGGCTTGACCGTATACAGAACAAACCATGGCACATACGAGCAACAAACGCAATCACCGGAGAAGGATTACAACTTGGCATAGAGTGGCTGACAGATCAAATTCGCGATATATTTATTAATAAGAGATAAAGTTAACACCAGTACATAGAAGTAATCGGTTACATTCTCTCTTTCTAACCGAGCACATGTACTTTTCGATATTCAATTTTTCAATTGGAAAACATCGATTCTAATAATGAATCTTTGTTCGAAAATCAGATAGTGATTTTATAAGACATATTTTATTTATATATACATAAGTTTGAATAATTTATTAATGTAATCACCGATGAATCCGTCCAATAAATGTTACTCATTTCTCACCGACTCTTAAATCGATGATCCATTATGAATTTTAATTCTTTATAGCATTGTTAGAATCTTAAACTAGTTATTTATTTACGAAGAAATATAGCCGTTAAAATCCCTAGATATGTTGCGATGAAGAGATTGAAAGCAAATTCCTACAGCCCCATTGAGTCAAGTACAAAATATGCGTCAACATACAAAGTATAATAATTAGATGCCAGGTGTTATATTACGTAAATAACTGGTGACGACATCAGTAATGGAAAGAGCTGGCCATCATCAACAAGCTTAAGTCTTTTACTACAGATGGTGACACTATCCTTCTTATATGGCGGGAGAATGACGTTTTACAAACTTTAAATTCCCGGTATATTTTCACGCACATTTAAAAATAGCATCATGTACATAAAATTTCGTTTTGATTGTAAAAACATTGTCTCCATTCTAAAGTGATGCGTACATTTTAGACGATGATAAGAATTGAATATTGAACGTGAATTCATTTCTTTTCTACTAGAATATTGAATGAAAATCGAATTATGTTTCACGTGCCCCTCCGTGCCCCTTTTTAATATGTTACGCTTCTCGTCGTACGACGAGTAATCGCTAGATGGAGATAGTATATTCCCGGGGTACAGTATACGTGGGACCAAACAATATCGATCCGAAGTATCTGATAGACTGATGGGAATTTCCATGTAGTTATTCATAATACTTTGCTAAGAGTTAATAAAAAAATGAAAGGAAAGTACGCGTTCGTTAGTTATATTGTACTCGTGAGTTTATTCAAGTGTACAAAGTGTCACAGTGTCGAGAAATATTCGTTGCTTATGCCAAATGTTAGACCAAACAGAGTAAGTGGAATTTAAAATTTATAAAATAATTAATATACTTTACACTTATTGTCATGCTTAAATGTTGTGTTATTATTATTATTTGTTTACACATTGCAAATGTTTAATAATATAAATTAATTTACAGGAAGAACTGTACTTATGTACATCTGTTAAAGTAGATCCTTCCCAAAATTATTATGTCATAGGTTTTGAACCAAATGCAACAATGGATGTTGCTCATCATATACTTTTATATGGTTGTGGCAAACCAGGCATGTCGAAGACTGTTTGGAATTGTGGAGAGATGGGGCACGGTATGGACAAGAACGAGGACACAATGGCTCCATGTGCAGCAGAATCTCAAGTATATGAAAGAGAATTTAAAGAATGATTCTGTTTAACTAAGAATATCAAATGTTATTAATTAGTTTTGTCAATTGTTTTCATAGGTATTGTATGCTTGGGCAAGAGATGCACCAAAATTGATTTTGCCGAAGGGGGTAGGCTTCAAGGTTGGTGGGGATTCCTCGATTAAGTACTTGGTTCTACAGGTTCATTATGCACATATCGATATGTTTAAAGATGGTAGAACAGATGATTCTGGTGTATTTCTTCATTATACATTACGTCCGTTAAATAAGATAGCTAGTGTTCTCATTATGGGAACTTCTGGTTTGATACCTCCAAAGAGTACAACATACATGGAAACAGCCTGTATGATAAATGAAAACAAAACTATCTATCCTATCGCGTATAGAACGCATACACATTCACTTGGAAAGGTGGTTTCTGGATATTTGATAAAACCAGACTTTACATGGATAGAATTAGGCAGAAGGGATCCTCTGACTCCTCAAATGTTTTATCCTATACACAATAAGGTTGCAGCTACTCAAGGCGACCAAATAGCGGCTCGATGTACTATGCAAAGTACGCGCGATAGATGGACGATCATAGGTGCAACTAAGGAAGACGAAATGTGCAATTTTTATCTAATGTATTACGTTGAAAACGACGAACCATTATCTATGAAATACTGTTTTACACCCGGACCTCCCGATTATTACTGGAAAAAGGCTGGACTCTTCAACATCCCTGATAGAGAAGCATCTAGTTTATAACGAAGTAGTCTTAGTTATCTGATTTAGAAAATTGGTACACACGCAAGACTGTTGATAATGGAACAGATTTTGACACAAGTATTTTATCCAATCGGTGTTGTAAAATGGATCTTGTTTCCTAACGTATCACTTCAAGTTCATTAGACAATTGTGACAATCCCTAAATTAAAATTATTTTTTAGTTATCGATCGTTTATTTTTCCATTGCTTGATTTTCTAGATTGAAGTTATTTGCACTCGAATATTTAATTAGTTATAAATGTCTTCTCGTCGATATAATAATAAATAGGTATTCCACTTAATTTCGTCTAATATCAGAAACATTATGATGGTCGAACGAGGTAAGGTTACTGTGAAATTGTTGGCCTATGAAAAGCAAGGTTTAATATTTTCATTATTTCTGTTTATTTATTGATCGCCAATACGTACTCGTGATTATTGCCCATGTACAATTCTTTACAGCTGCTAAAATAATTTATTTTACGTATATTTTAGTATTATTTCCTTTAACTCAGTATTTTAAAGATGGTAACAAATAATTCGAAAATTTGGTACTGAAGTCTGTACAAATTTTCCATAGTACTTGTTTTGTAAGTTTTTATATATTTCCATACATCCAGCGACAATGTTGTAAGGAAATGAAGAATCACGATGAAATGATCGTGTATATAAGTAATAATGCAAATAATTTTAACTAATAATATTTTTTTGAATTAAATGTGTTTAAGATGCTAGAAAGAAATTTCAGATAAAGTAATCTTCCTGGTGGTTAGAGCATATATTTGAAGTTAACTAAAACATGTTCGTGCAATATTATCGGTTACGATACGATATATTCAAAGAAACAAGAGAATATAAAAAAGCGCGGTAAATCACGAGGAAGATTACTTAATTGCAATATTTTTGTTAAACTGGGCAGTGCTCTGAAACTACATGTAATAGCATTTGTTTAATACCGATTGACTGAAAGTAAAACATATATTTTCCATGTTGTTCTATCGTATAACTATATGTACATCTAAATACAATTAACCCTTTGACTGCGGAGGACCCATGTATACATACCTGTATTATATTCTATTTATTAAATTTATTTTTATAATAAGCTTCGATCAGGTTACAATTGATGAAACAATGTTATTTGCGGTGCAAGTAACAAATATATCCAGTGATACAAAGATGATCGACTTTAGTCTCGAGCGCGATGAAGTCGAAGGGTTAATAGAAATTATTTTCGATAATATACAGAAGATGCGGTTTGTTTCTATAAACTTAATATTATTATAACGATATATCAATAAAATCATGCATATATTGAAATGTCTGATCTATCTAATACCCGTTCTAATTCCATTTCAGATATCAGTACATGTAAAGTGGCGAAAAACGTGTATTACAATCGTAGCTTCCATCGTAGCGTTAGATTTTTTTAGTTTCGAGCGCGATAAATTCCATCAACTCAGGCGGTGTTTACGGTACCGATCGAGATTGTTGCGAATTAGCTGACCTTCGATCACCGTTACAAGATTGTATTTGCTGAATATATGATTACACTCATCAAAGCCGGTGAAAGGAGGTTCTGCAAAAAGCAAGTCTTTAGATAGATCTGCCCGGTCAGGATTAATTGTCCCGAGGAGAATTTCCGAACGAGTTTAATTAATTTTCATCGGATCCCCACGAGCGTTCGGTTACCATCGAATATAATTATATGTACGCCAAATATCAACTATCCATATTACGTGGTTTTTGTCTAAAAAATTCTCCAAAATTTACCTGTTTTTCGAGGGGAGAGGGTTCAGTCTGGATTAGGTTACACGCTTTGAAGAGGTTTTACTGTATTTGAGCAAAATTACACGGTTCGCCACGCATTCATCATAAAACGATTCTCAGCTAGAAAGGTGGGAAAAAACTCGCGTTCAGTCGATGATAGGTTCGGTGTCTCCCGTAATTCGATACATACATAAAAATGTTTTGCAAGGTTTATCGTCTCGTAAAATGGGTCCTCGTCAAAAGTGTGTCGACGAGCGCGTACGTACGTTTTTGGAAAACAAATGAACGGAGAAAGTGCAGCGACGTATGTAGAAGAATCTATGTAACGAAGGTGCGGTCGAGCACATTAAAACCTATCGATGCGTCTTCGAAAGAATCGGCGCACGTTTCTTCGCCAGTTTCTCGTTCAATGTTGTGATTCTTTTCCTAGAATGACGATGAGAAGGGCTTCGATATTTCCCAAAATATTAAGATGAGACATTGTATGGTTTTGTATGTTTATTGATCTGAATAGTCTGTATTTTTAAGACTCTTAAAATTGCCTGTCCAATCATTTTTACATCAAGTTAATCATCTATTATATCGGATGCACCTCGTTGTCCTAATCCGCGAAACATCGTCTATTCAGATTCGATTGCCTATTTTCTCTCAAGTCGCTACGGAGTCTTTGATTCGATCATTCTTTGCAGACGATCGCGGTCGAACAATCGAGACGCGATTAAGAGGGAAATCGCCTCGTTCTTACGTTACTTTTTCAGCTGCAAATCTCACGTATCCTCGAGAATGCTCGTTAAGAGAATATTTTAGATTTCCTATAGGTTAATTGGCGCCGATTCTCGAGTTACCACCTGCAAAATTGGAAACCGGTTTCTCTCATTACGTCGTTCGCGTACGCGTCTTCTCTTTGAGAACGATTCGGTGTCAATGTTCACGGGACTCTGCTATTATCTCGCTATGGAAAACAAATTATTCCTTTTGTAGCGGCACATACGCAACGCCGGTGGCGTTCCATTTCTCCTTAATACGGATCCGCCGCATAATTTTTCTACTTTGACGCATCTACTTTGAATTTCGTTTCGCATTTACACAAACTTTCCAGTCAAAAGACGTCACGAGAAGTATTTTAGAAAATCTTCGTGCCAGGTGGCAGAAGTAGGCTTCTAAATTACTAATAAAAAGATGAGTACGTACCTTTCACAACGCGTTCCATTGAAAATTGGACTGACTGATTTGTATCGTTTTCAGATCAACGAGAACAATCGACAGGACGATCATCTGCGAATCTACCTTGGCGCTAATGCTTTACAAAGGTCTGGTTTGCCCTGAAACTAAGGTGAGCTTTTGACTTCCGCAATCACAGTGATTCGTGAAGAATTAATTCAAAGATATTCAACTTTCAGAGTTATCTAGTTTCGGTAGTTCTCCTTCGCAAGTCGTAATTGCGATGTTTTCCGTGGATAGCCATCGTCTTAACGGAGCGTACGTGTTTGTCGTTGGGTAATGCGTCAATGAAAACTGCGTGTCACGCGCACAGAGAAGTATCATCGCCGGTAAAAGCATGTCTCGTCGTTAGGAAAGCGACTGGAGCACATGCAGTCCGATTGACTGAATGCTCCGCGGACAACTTCGAAAGTAAGGCCTCGATCACGTTTTGTTCGATGTCTGCTTGCCGCTACGAGTAGTCGAGCTTCGTCCTCTTTTCCTCTGTTTTTCTAACGCACTATATCGCAGACAGTTCAATTCAATATAACAATTTTGTCGCTATGCGATATCCATTCCTCGCGAGAGGAAAATCAAAGGATTTGCGAGGAGGTTTCAGAAGACTAGGTACAGAAGCGCTCCACCGTATTCGAGACAATGGGGATAGTATAAAATGCAAACGTTATCGAGAGCCGAGCGTTTAAACGCGTATTTATTCTCGCGAGAATTCTTCGAAGATGTGCCACATTGACAAATACGCGCATCCGAGGCGACGCAATGTAGCCTCGTTCACCGTTAATGGACAAGATATGTTTTCGGATCTAAACTCGGTAGAGTTTCGCTGCTCTCCGGCGAAATATCGACCTATCTGATCACACCATGTCGCAGAATTTATTTATTTAACGGTCTCGTTGCAAGCGTATACGTAAGGGTGCACGCGAGGGATGAACGCGTTTAATCGAAAGTATACATAATTACATTTAAACTTGAAAGATGTAAGTGTTCGGCACGGCTACGCTGAGTTAAGAAGCAAATCTTGAAGACCCACCAAGAAAACCCTTTGGAGTCATACAAATCTCCAGTCACGCAACGGCAACATTGATGACTTTCAAGGTGACAAATGTCGTGCTTTTCGATATCACGTGCATTTAAGTCGTGGCTTTATGTGACGCGAAAACGGAGCCCTAAGTGTTCCCCGGGTTGCGAGGAAATGGATCCTCAAAGTTGCCGAGTTTATCTCAGAACTGTTGCCGCGGTGCGTCAAGGGATGCGCTAAGGGGGATGCATCCGATTCAAGCGGAGTGACAATTCCGCGGAGAGCGGCAAATAGGAGCCGAGAGGGTGATGGAAAGGAGAAAGAGACACGTGGGACAAGAGGGAAGTCGCGATTGGTTAAGCCGGTTGGAAAAGCCCGCCTGGTTGCTCGACCGGCCGGCACTTCGCTCAGTTCTCCACTGTGCTCCGAGCGAAACGGAGCTTTCGCCAACCAGATTCACGGAGACCCTATCTTGCGCTTCTTCGATTATAAATCCCGCCTCGATCGATCGATCCATCCATCTCGCGATAGTAATTCGCGTGCTCCCGACACCCGTGCCCGACGGGCAAGTTTCACGGAGGATTCTTCCTCTGAACGCTCCTCTGCAGTTGTTTACCGCGGTCCGTTCGAGGGCAAAACAATAGAAGAGGAAACTATGCTCGTGGACGAAAACCCGTCGCTGTCAACGGTTTAGGACGCGTCGATAAAGCCAACTGTCGCTTCGAAAAAAAGTGAGCTTATCAGGGAAAGGATTCGTCAGGATCACGGTGAGTTTTTTTTTTATTTTTGCGACGTTGTTTAGATTTGAAGGCTGCAACGGGAGGATCCATGATCGTCGTATTTATGCTTGATCTTCATTTTTTCATGCTCGATAGTTCGATAGTTGATTCAGTGGAGTCTTGATACGATCGGCTTATCTGCTACGATCTTAATTGTATTTCCATTTGATGAGTTCGGGTGATCGATGACTGGTTTTCAATTTTCCAATGGTGATCCTTAGATTTGATGTTTGCGAGTGTAGGGCAACCTCGACAGCAATTGATCGCCACTTGGTCCATCACTTTCTCAGAATCACTTTTATACCATCAGAACGAAGCGTGATTCCACGTAACGATAGTTGAATTAGAAGAGTTTCGAAGCTCAAGGATGCATCCATCAGTCATGGTCTTAGATGCAGGTCCAATTACAAAGTGTGTGTGATCGATAACGGATGTAAATCATCTTCTATTAAACAATTTTTGACGTGTCGTTTTAAAATCAAGTTATATAATTCCGATCTTTAGATCATTAACGTCTATCTTGAGTACTTGTGTCGGTATAGATTACCGTTGTCTTCAAGATACTTTGTTGCAAAGTGTACCTCCTTTTGTCTCTCGGTCTGTTTATTTTTACAGTGTCAGAGATGTGAGAAATCGACGGGTACAATATAGAAAATAATTTTGTTCGATCGAGCACTGGCAAAAGGTGACCCTATATTATCAAGCGTCCGTCATGCTACGGATGAAAGTTGTGAAACAAATGGAAGAACTCTCGTTTGTATTCGATCCGTTGAAAGTATTAATTGCGCGAGTGATTTGCGTACAAAAAGTTTGACACAGAGTTGGTAACGAGAAAGTGGAGACCTGATCGAGAAAAATGAATTTCGCGATCATCTTTCGCCTTAAAAAGCTGAAAGACCTTGTTTTTCTTTAATTCGAGTCCCAACTTTCTTTCTTCGGTTTAGTATTTGAATAATAACAACTTTTATGGTGCAACTTTTTTTGCGCGACGATGTAGTTGCACTTTTCTTTAACAGCTCACCTTTTTTTTATGGAATAGAGATGCAGCCTGCCCCAGTTTCTACAATCACCCTATATTTTGCGCAAGCGAGAATGAGCTCACACCAATGCGTCCCATTAACCCTTTGCGTTAGTTGTTGATTAAACGAACACGAAAAGCATCGTTAGCTGGCAGTGACTCACTCGCAAGTAAATATGAATAAACAAAGGGGTTAAGGTGTTAAGCGACGGTTGTTCAAAGAGGGCAGAAGCGCCGTTGGAAATTTTAGCAACGCGCCGCGTCAGGAATGCAGAATGGGGCAGCCTGTCGTGGAATTCTAGTTATCGGCTATTCAGATCGAAAGGCTTGCGCAGCGTTTCACGATTTGCGGTTTCCGTTCCCTCGTGCATCTTTAATCGACTCGGTTTGCGGGCCTATTGATTTCTCGCGTTAACGCGATCTCGAATTCAGAACGCGAAATCGCCCCTTGATTGGCATTAATCGCACCAACGCGTGCACTCGCTGCTGGCTCGGAGTTATCAGGGGGAAATTCGCGTAGAACCTCGACACGGTTTTCCCCACTCTTCGTTGAACCGTGAAAATGGTTCGCAGCGTAATTTGGCAGAAGCATCAGGGTACCCTAAAAAAATATCGCGCATTTCGAAAATGTAATTTATGGAGTAAATATTTAATAAATAGAGGCTCCGTTCTCGAGGTAATCGATTTTAATTTAATTTTAATTACAAAATATTTTCAGCATTCCCGTTCGAAGAAGAAATTTTTCCTTTATAAAATAAAATTTTATTCCAAATTGTCGATTCACGTTTGGACGAGAAATCGGTCCCTGTTTGCTTTGCGATTCGCAGGACACCCTGTACATTTTTCTAAGTGTCGAACGATTCATCGTGGGAGTTTGTTCGCAATTTTCACGGCGAGAAAACCACGTCGCGATTGAAACACGTCGCTTTACACAATGCGCAAAAGTTTCCTTTATGACAGAATGGCTCGCGACACAAACCGCGACATCAACTTGGCAAAGCTTTTACTAATATCAGCTCTTTCATGCGGATCAGCCTAAACGACGTTCGCGGATAACATATATAGAAACTATTCGAACTGGGTCGCCACCTTTTCCCCCTTTCCTATTCCGCAATACCCTCCTTGTATCCAATCCCGCCCAACTCTTCGCGCTCACGAAATTGCATCTGTTTCATCGGCATTCAGGAAGAGTGCCAAACTTTCGTTTCCCTACTGTTTCGCTAGGCTGCGGGAAACCACTGTGCGTCTTCCTCGCCAGGGAATTCATGCCGATTTTCGCGATATATACCAACCCTTCGCGCTAGCCATTTTTCCTCGAGCGATATTTCATGTAGAAATCAATGTTTGGAAGCATTATATTTGAATATTTCACGTATCTACACATCCTACAGACATACACTCTTCGTTAAGACTCCGATTACATTGAATTATATATTTATTCGAGTAAGCTAGAACTCGAATCCTCTATTTCGCAAATGCAATTTATATCGTTGCCAACATTCGAAAAGCTCTGTTGATATTTCTCGTGGCACGCAGACACGGGATACATCGTGCTCTTCCGGTTTGATGCGTCGAAGAGCGTCAAAAAATATATTTCAGCGCGCGATCGCACCACCGAATTGCGGTCGAGATAACTTTGTACCCTTTCGGCACGACGCGACGGTACGTAATACGTGCAACGCGCAGACACAGACTGTTCCCGGTTTAATGTACGGTGTCCCATAAGGTTCATATATCTCCCTTTACAACCAGGAAACGAGCATGGTCCCTTTGCAGCGAACAGCATTCATAAATCCAAAGGGAAGTTCGCCGAAGAGGAAGGGCACTCTTGTCCCGTTGTCGCGCTCTTGTTTCTTTTTTCTTTCAACGCACGAAACGATCGAACTCGGGCCCCGTTTAACCCTTCGCGGTGTCCGTCAAGCCTCCAGCCTCTATATTTTATTAATAAGTTGTTCGTTTGGACGAATTAATACTTGTGCACGAATATTATAAACTGAAAGCCACTGCAAAAGATAATACTCATTCCATGCAAATTGTGCGCAATTGAAATAGCAGACAAAGCGTCAGCGATTAATTTTGATAGATCGTAGTTCGAAGCAGTCATCGAAGAATGAGAGTGGAGTTGTCGAAGAGCGATTGTCGCAAGAAGAATTGCAACGGATCCAACGATCCGCGGATACACGACTCGCGACCGGATGCAATTTCGCCGGGACCAATCGCGTCGCGAGAGTGTTTTATCGCGCCTCCGAGTCCACCAGCCATTGTTTTTTCATCGAACCGCCATTTTCCGTCGATCACCGGCGATTCATCGCTTCCAACCTTTCTCATCGCGTTGATAGAAAAATGTTTTTTAGAAACAGCGATGAAACAGACAGTTCTCACTTAAAATGAACAGAAAAATGGTGAACAGGAACATTGAATAAAATGAATGTAATTTATTTCAACGCGAACTTTCTGAAGCAAACTTTTTTCGACTCGGTGGTACGTCTTGAGGATTTCTCGAGTCGATGTTGACCGAGGAGGCGTGCGACGTTTTCATTCGGATTTCTCATTTCTATGGGAACGTTCGTCTTCTGGCGCCCTTCGGCGGAGCAATTAGCGAGCTCGCAGCCGCGAAGCAATTATCGAGGACACGCGATATACGGGGCTCGGCTCGAGGGACTCGTACGTTTTACGAGAATCGGTAAATATTCGGTCAAGAGGTCATCGGGTGCATCGATCGATTTTCGTCAGCGCTATGAGCGGGTCGAGCGGGTCCAGTCCATCGACAAAAATTCATCAATGTATCAGAACTGTAGGCAAAGTTTGCAAACTTGTCGTTCTGACGATATTTTTGGTTGTTTACTCTTAAGTGACTCGTACGTCAAGCATTTTGACGAATTATACGACGGACGTTTCGAGGGTTACACGCGTGTTTATTAAAACATATTATTGAAACACCATTTGTCTTCCTTTCACTTTGGACCTTCGTCATTGACTGTCTTATCAGTCACACCTTCTCCAATTTGTGATAATTTGAATATTTAATATCTTGATTGAAGTTAGCAGAAGTGCTACGAAACTGTGTTAGAGGTGGAATTTTAATCGACGACCGTATTATTTCCGAAGTCACTTGCTGCGCGAAGAATTTGCAGCGCTCTCTAAGGGACAATTAAGTATCGGGGGAGCTAATGATAACCTAATATCGCTGTAACGAGTTCTCAAACGATACCAGATAGATATTACGGGGCGTGCAATTATCCCAGAAGTGTGCTACACTCAGACGAAAATTGTATATGGAAATGAAACGGAATATGGCGTCGGTGCGACCGCAACTCCAACGCAGCTAAATTGACAATTTCGCGTAGTCCTGGACGCGCTTGCGTTTATTTCTGAACGATCCATTTCCGAACACCGCGGTCCAGAATTATCTGCAATCCCGGTGATTGGTTGGATCGTTCAATATCGATCCGATCGGGTGTCATGGAGCTTGCATTTTTCTATATTTACATTTGAACGAACGTTAACCTCTTCGTTAATCCTCGCTAAAATGATCGAATATTCGCGATGAATAAAATACGAATTTCATTTAGATTCCGTTACCTCTAATCTGGGGGGTGGTTTACTCGTCTGGCCTCATTTCTAAAATAACAAGTCGTTTTATTCTATTATGTTACTCGTTCTAAAAGTATCTGATTGTATTACTTGGCATAAGAATATAACAGGATAGAAAATGTTTGTTCGGTTATTAATGATTTTAATTACCTCTACGTTTCTACGTTGCAAACGTTGACCGTCGCGATCCGTCAACTATTAATCATTTCGATCGTAGCACCTGTCGTATTTGTTTGAATAAATATTCATGGACGTTGCGCTCACAACAAAATGCTCTATGTATCGTGGGAAACAGCGTCCGATCGGTGGAAGATTAATCGTTTTCTTTTTTAGAGGATATCGCTGTCGCAGCTCGGAATCCGTGTCAGAAATTAAA